TCAAGCATGGATCTCTGCTTTGTTTTTATTGATCCCTTCAGTACTGAAACTCCACACTCACATAAGTATGTGGTTGCAGATGGTAAAAGGATTTTCGAGGCTTTTTGTGTGAGCTCAGGGTACATGGATGAAACAGCAGGGTCCAGCCAAAATGATGTTAAGTCACGTCCAGAGCTCTAGTAGGTCTGATGCAAAAAACTGCCATTACTGAGATCAATCAGCTTGTCCTCCTCCGTCACAGTTAAGCTGTGGGACATGTTTGTGTTGGATGCCTTCAAAAAGGGATCCCTGATCCAGTCTTTGTCAGTTTTTAAGTCACTCCCAGCAAGCATAGTGAGATGGGCACAGATTGTCTGAGAGATGTCCACTGTTTCGGCCTCCCCATCATTCAATTCTGTTAAGCAGGAGAACATTGCGGTCACTCCATTCCTTACTCGTTCATGCCAGCATCAAATCTTTATTATAAATCCTTTGAATTTGTCACAAGTCCAGTATGTTTGTGTGCAGGCCCTGCATACTGCTGTTAAACGTATTCAGTTCATCAAACATATCGGGGTGAAATATGCAAGTTTAGCGTTCCATGTTGGATCCTTGAAGTGCATGGCCAAGTTGGAATTCTGATCAGATAAAAATTGATTAATTGATAAAAAAAGTCTCAGTGCGCAGCTCAAACACTCAAGACGTGCTAACAACGTATGCTCACATGACATTCAACAGTTAGGCTAATCCTATCAGCTAATTCTGTTGTTGTTTTTTGCATATAAAGTCACGGTGTTACATTTGATTGTTTTAATGTAATATATTTGACTTTAAAAAAATATATTTTTTAAAAAATTGAATTTAATTTGACATTGACATTCCAACACAATCTCATGAACCCCCTGCAGTACCGCCACGCACCACCGGGTGGTAACCCCTGGGACAGGGGAATTGGAGGTTTTGTACTGGCTGTCTGGTCAGGGCTCCTCAGGGCTGGATAGTGGGACGTTTAGGGAAACCTTCCAAGCTCAATCCCATTAGATGGTTATGTAAGAAGATGATCCTGTCCAGAACACCCTTCCTGTGAGTCATCAAGCAAGTTGGTCAGGCAGGGTGGAAGCGAAGCAGCTTGTACTCCATGTCCCGTGGCCTGGTGCTCTCTGAGGTCTGGCTGTGAGTTACTTCATACTGCCTGTGTGAAGGTAAGAGCAAACACAGCTGTGCAGTCGATTCAAGAGGTTTTGTGTGGGTGTGCTTGCAAGCGTTGGAAAGGCGCACTGAGCAGAAGGATGTGTTTCATATTTCGTTTTTCACCTGATGGGGTTGGCAAGTGTCTCAGAAGCCTCTGCCGTCCCTAAGAAGCTTTACTGGTCAGTCCCGTTACACAGGAGCGTAGATACCACCGTCCAGGCCTGTGTTGAGAGCAGTGGCATTCAGTGACCAAGTTAAAGTCAGAAGATAATGGTCCCATGTGATGTCAAGCTTCAGAGAATTTTGAAGCTTCTTATACAAAGATATTTGAAGGTTTCTATACTTTCAAACAATGTGTGTGGCGGGTGGGATTCTTATTTTAAATGTGCTATTAAATAAACTGTTAATTTATATCCAGGACTTTCTAAATTGAGCTGTCCTTGAGTTTTATCTTGACACTGGTGCTTCTGTTTTCTGAAAGGCCACCTTTCAAAGGCAATGTGCTTGTCTCTGTGAAGAACACAGTTGCCCTTGCTCAAGGCTGGTTTTATTTGTGCTACTGTCAGTTAACTGTTGAATTATTGTAATGATTCCTCTGCAGTCCTCCCTGTAAGCATTCTAACCTGCTTCTGTTGTTTCACTCCACTGCTTGTAATGTGATAATGTGACAGCGAACACTAGCCTTTTGTGCTATACCATCGATTCGAATAGGTTTAAAAGAAAAAAAAGGAGAAAGAGGAGAGCATGCTCAACTAGATATTCCATTGCAGATTGAATAATGGTGATACAAAATCAAGAAATTGATCGAACACTGTCATATTGCTGTCTTCTTGATGCTTTACACAATGTCAGGAACACAGTAGTCATTTTTAGGAGTCATTTCTAATTCCTTGTCTGGATTTTCTATGCCAATATTTTTAGCAAATTTTTACTTTTGCCATTTATCTAGTTTTGTTTTACACCCACTTTGCATCCGGTTCAGATTTTCTTGTTCAGTCTCAAGTTTTAAGAGGCAAAGCAAGATGGAAATACTGGATGGGTATGTTTACAGAAATTTGAACTTGGTGGAAATACTGTGAAACCTTTCTAGTGACCAAGAGCGTAAAGATCTTGAGATGTGGGTGGCCTTTTCCAAATAGGAAGTACAGTATCTACTGGAATGAGTGCTTTTACAGATGGTATTACAAGGACTGCATCACAAGCTGTGGTTTTGCTCCTGAGGTTTGTCGGCATCCTGTACTTTTGTATGACCATATGGGTCACTGGGACAAAGACAAGTGTAGCAGCTTTAACAAAGCTTATTCATCACTGAAGCATCTGATATTCAGCTTTGTTGCACAGATAGGTTTATCCAATGTGTAAATTGAAGTTTGGCAAAACAGTGTACATTCTGATTGTAAGTTCTGCAAGAGTTAGGTTCTCCACATTACTGGTAAGATGTCTAAAAGATGAGCAGCCTGTTGGTATTTATCTTGGCAGAGGTTAAGTGTTGTTTTCTAGATGCTCATACTTAAGAGTTATGTTTTTCTTTCGGGCACATTTGGTTAAAATCAAAGGTTAAAACCAATGACCAGTTTGGACATACCCACTTCATCCTTTGAAGAAGAAATTACGATTCTCCTGTTTCTGACACATGACCTGTTTGTTGAAACAGACCTCTAATTTTCTGCATTTGTTCCCTCAGATGTTTCCTGTGGACCACGATGAACTCTGTTCCACGTTCTGCTCCATTGTGTCATTCCAAGGACCTTGTGGTCAGGATCCTGGTGTTGGGTTTGTAATCTAGGCCCTACTGCCTCCCCACCTCCCCTCCCATTTCTTGCACAAAGAGAATGGACAGCCCCCCAAAACTGTCAGGGGAGACCCTTATCGTTCATCACATCCCACTGGTACACTGCCAGGTCCCAGGCAGGCAGTGCTGTGGCTCTCTCAAGCGGACCAACCCCTTCTGCCAACCAGACTTAGGCCTGACACGTACCACGTCCCTCCCTGAGCGAGACGTCCTGCACAGGGAGGCTCTGGTGTACAGCAGCCTGATCCAGACCTCCAGCAGCAGTGGAGGGGGTGGGGGCGGCAGCAGCCTGGTCAGTGACTCCTCTTCCTTCACCTCCTCCAACAATTCGGAAGAGCCACCCCCACCTCCCCGGCCCAAGAGCAGGGACCCCACAGGCAAAGCCAATGTGCTGAGACACAACCCATTCCTGCTGGACGCTGAGGACGATGAGGGTGAGGAGCTGGGTGGGGATGAAGGAGACAACCTGAATGGCTATCTGGAGGACAGCTCCTTCCATCTGCATGGGAATACCAATGCTGCCAGCAACAAGACGTCATCTTTCCATCTGCATGACCTTGCCTTGGCTGCTGAACCCTTCTTACTGCATGACAGCCTAAGAGGCGTGCACAAGACATGGTGCACTCTGTCAGGAAGACCAGGAGTAGCCGAGGGCCATGAGGCTGACAGGTCAGGCCATAATGTGGGGGCTCTGAAGACTGCAAAACGGTTATCAGATTGCCTGGACCTCCTGGAGCTTGACTGCCAGGGGCGGCATGGCAGTAGTGGCTCCACCCTGTCCATGGACTGCGGCGAGCAGGAGTGGATTGGGAGCCCCACCGAGGAGGAGGAGGATCCCCTGAGGAATGGACACTGCAGCCGCCCTTGCAGCTGCTGCTCCAGCTCAGATTTTGCTCTGCACGGCCAAGGACACCGCTGTTGCTGCTTCAGCTTCTCGGAACCTTCGGAGAATGCCGACCACCAGATGGGCTACGTCAGCGACTCCTCCTGCAACAGCTCCGATGGAGTGCTGGTCAACTTCAGCGCCATCTACAATAAGATGAATAATGGTGGCCCTGCCAAGCCCCTCAACCTCAACTCCGAGGACCAATCATGCACGTCCTCAGTCTGTAGCCACTCAGAGGCCGGGGGAGCCTTCTACTTGGATCTGCACACCTCTCCTACTGAACCCCGGGGTGGCACTAATTCTTCCCAGGATGCCAACACTTGTAGCTGCCACTCACCCCAGGCTGTGGATGCCAACTGCAACTCCTACCACCTGCACTGTGATGGTGGATCTTGCCACACTGAGACCTCCGACCTCACTTCCTGTTTCCAGAGCCAGGCACGACTTGTGGTGGCCACACAGAACTACTACAAGCTGGTGACTTGTGACCTCTCTTCTCAGTCCTCCCCCAGCCCCGCTGGCTCCTCTATCACCAGCTGCTCGGAAGAGCAGCCCAAGAGCAGCCCAAGCCAGCCCACTGAGTATTACCTCTTCAGAAAGCCAGAGGACCAGGAGGCTGTGATGGAATCAAAGGATAATGAACAGGAGCAGGTAGGCGGGGAGCAAGGATCTCTGAGGGAACCCTGTTGATAGGAAGGGTTCACAAAACCATACATTTACTAAACTCTTCTGAGACAGCCTGGGGTAGGGAGTGGAAGGAGTGTTCCCTATCCCTTTTATTCTTAGAAATTGTTTTCAGTGGTGGGTTTTAAAGAATATGGGTTTATTAAAAGGGAAACTGAAGATGTGCTTTTACATGCAACGTATCCTTTCTGTTTGAATATGTTTTTTTCAGCTATGTCCCCCAAGATCTTTCAAAGTGAAGTACTGAGCCATTTACCACTACGCCGCACATCTTTTTTAGTACTTTTGAATGTGTAATCCAGTTAGATTACTAATTACTTAACCTTTACCCAGTTATGACAAAAAAATGGGAAGACTTTCAGTAGGTTCACAATTTTAGAAGCAACAGTATTTTTGCCTTAAAAAAGACACTGAAATTTTTTTGGGGGAATTTGCAAAATAAAATCATTTGCCATGTCATGTGTGCATTGTTCTCGTCTTACACACGACTGCTATAGTGTAGACATTAAATTTCAAACCTTGAAGTGGCATTTCGCATTGAAACTGTCCATTTCCTGTTGGTATTTTTTGTCATTTCTTGCAGTTAACGATGCCCATTAATAAAGCTGCCTCAGGGTTTTGAATTTCATACTATGTTTTATCACCTCTTCTTGTTTCAGTAATTCTAACTGTTAGTGAAGGCGGTTAGCTGTACCCTGCTGGTCGCGACGAACTTGTATAACCTGTCATAGTTTGCTGGGCTGATCTTGGCTTTCGTTCTACAAAATCTTTGTTGCCATGAAACACAACAGCAATGCAAATAATTCCTTAATTTCCTCGTTGACACCAGCTGCTTTTTATTAAGTTCAAAAGAAAAGGAAATAACGTAACGGTGGCTTGTTTTGAGCTTTTTTTTTATCGTTGTTCAAACTGAGAAACATTCTTTTCTGTAACAGGAGGGGGGGAAGAGTGGCGAAGAGGTTTTGGAGCCCCCTCAGAATGTCATCGAGGGGCAGTTGTACGTCAACATCTCTCCGCCCATGTTGACCGGTGGCGGGGCCACGGGGCGGCCGCGCTCCCGGAGCTACGACCGCAACCTGGACAGGTCCCCCCCGCCGCGGCTTGGCTCCCTGGAGCGCATGCTGAGCTGCCCGGTGCGGCTGAGCGACAGCGCGGCCCGCGCCTCGCCGCCCCCCCGCGTCACCTCCTTCGCCGAGATCGCCCGCAGCAAGAGGAAGAGCGCCAGCCTGGGAGGGGGGTCGCCGCCCCCGAAGAGCAGCACGTCGTCGTCGTCCCAGGAGTTCTCCCCCATCCCCGAGCCACGCCACGCCGGGGAGAGCCGCAGCCTGCCGCCCATGCCCTTCGGACGCTGCTACAGCCAGAGCAGCGTTGACCTGACGCCACACGCCGGCCCCCAGGATCCTCAGCCTCTCGGGGTCTCCCCCGGGGCCCGCACCAAAGCAGAAGGTAAGGCGATAAGCACAGGTCACGACGCGTTTCTGTTCCTTGAAGGTATCCCTCCTCCAGTGGCTGTGGCTCTGTCGGTTTCACCTTGGTATGGACCGATTTATTCACTTCAGTTTATTTTTATATAGCGCCTTTCACAACAAGGTTGCGCCAAGGCGCTTAATAATGCAAGTAACCATACATTTTGTCAATACAGAACAGAAGACCAGAAGACAATGGAGGAGAGGAACCAAAAACTCCTTAGTAAGGAGAACAAAAAACCTCTGGGGGTCCAAGGTCAACTGGTGGCCCAACCTCTTTGGGCATGCTAACATTATATAATTTAAAAAAAGGAAATAAAAATGGGTTTATCATTTGATCACTTCTTTGTATAGTCAACTCAGTAAAGATCGGGACACAGGGGCCATCCAAATTTTTCCTTTTCAGCATCATTTACCACAAATCTCATGTACCTACTGTATAGTATGTACTGTACCTGTTAGACACTCATTTAACACTTTTTTTTTGTGTGTGAGGGCTGCATGTGTGCTCTTTTTTTTATTCTGTCTTTGCCTTCTTAATGTCATCATTACATTTCCAAAAATCATTCAAAATCAGACTCAAAGCTCCTCTGTAACAGAGCGGCTACCAACTAAAGGGATTTTGGAGACATTAGTGGGTCTGTCACATTTTGTGTCAGAGGACAGTTTGGGAACAAATGTGCTTTTTGAGAATAAAAGCAATACAAAATTTCACACAGTACATTACATAAAAGTGCAACTTTTATTTGTAATGTCAGATATCAAATAAATGGTGTAAGAAATGATCTTCCCTTCTGAAGAAACATGAGGGTCAAGTCTTGTCTCCCATTGGTCACTGTGAATCAGAGGCAGTGAAAGGGGTGGTCTAATTGTTGTGCAAAAGCATTTTTGCAAAAAATGACTTCCTGTGTAAGAAGATCACAGGGCAAAGCCTGAGCGTAAGACCCTCCTGATTCTAAAGCTTGAAGAGATCTGTCCAGTACTGTGCTGTACAAAAAAGCAAAGGAGTTCTGGGTTTGTTATCCATGAGGTAATGTGTTTTTATTATGAGGAAACACAGAACAATATAGGCCATTGTTTGGGGAGGGAGGTGTTCAATGTGTCCTATAGCTTTTATGATTTTTTAAAAAATGATTAGACTTTACAACACTACATGACCTAATGAAGCACTGTTGTAAAACACACAAAATACAGTAAGACATACAGTACTGTACTTAAAATATATAGTGAAGTAATTGTGTAGGTTCTCTGTTTAAGTTAATTTTGTGTTACTCAGCCGCATCGAGTTCTGCTTTGCCTGACTCTTTTTACATTGTGCTGTACATATTAAGAGGCGTGAATGTAGTGGCCATGAATTCTCACTATACCTCATGTGAAGCACAGTGTCTGAACTGACTGTTGCTCAGAATGAAACAGAGTGGGATTTCTAAATGTGTCTTTCTTTTCCTTTGGTCCTTTTGTTAGCGTTCATAGAACATTAAATAGCCCATCTTCCTGTAGTTTGGCAACAAACGTGCAGTGGTAATTTTTTACAAAAATAAAGAAAAATAGACATTGTTTAAATACTAAATCGAAGATGAGCTCATATAATCTTCTCAGTTTCTCAGCTACAGTACCATGATTCAGCAATTTAAGTTTCATGGTTTAACTTGCTTTCTGTTACGTTAACAAGCTTTTGAATTTGGAATCGGACTTTTTAATGTCAGTCCTGCACAGAGGTGAAATATTAAGTATATCAACGTAACATAAAAAAGTAACAAAGAAAATGGGCCCAGCTAAATCCACTGAACTAGTTTTGGATGATTGTGTACTGCAGCAAGTGTATGACCTATTTTGATTACTTAATTTCAGAATGGCCCCTCATTGTTAAACAATTCGTAGTTATGGGTCAATGCTGGCCTTCAACAACTAATATACTGTAACATGGAAACATTAACTGTAATGGATGAAGGGAGATGAAGCTACTTGGTGGCTATTTGGCAAACAATGTAAAATGTGTGCCGTGGAGCGCTGATGATCTGGCTCCCTTACAGCCCCTTGTTTGTAAGGCAGCAACTTTAGTTTAAAGGTGAATGAAAAATGGGATGTTTATCTAGGTATAATTTTCATAAATCATAAATGGTTTCATTATTTCTTTTGACAAACACATATTTTCTACATCTGACTTCATATTCCAACTTCTTTTCACCAGTATGAGAGCAGATTACATAAATGAAAGGCAAGAGGTGTAATAAAGCCAGATTTCACCACAGTTGGTCATACAATTAATCTTCTTGACTCTAGATTTTCATTTTTGGGTCATCCACATACAGTACAGTACAGTCAGTTCATACAGAATGGGTTTGCAACATAACTTATACTCTTCTTATACTGAATAGAATAAGTACAGTATGCAGTAGTTTGCTATACCTGAAATTGTTCAGGTGTTGTTTTACTAACATTTTTTAAATCAGTGGAATCAGACATCAAGTGGAAGTCTTCTGGATCTTTTCTCTTTCTGTAGGGCATTGTTTGTAATTGATTAGACACCTATTGGGAACTTTTAACAGTGTAGATAAAAAATACATGGGTTAAACTTGGCTAGTAAGGTAATAGTGGATCATATAGTGTCTGCACGTTCTTTTAAAAAATGACCTATTTTGATAACTTAATTTTAGAATGGCCCCTCATTGTTAAACAATTCGTTCTTTTTAAAGCTTAGTGATCCAGCCTTTGTGCCTTGTGCTGTTTGTGCAGCAGTGGTTCAGTGCTCCAACCTGTGGCCGTCAGTGGTACTGCAAGTGGAGACAGAAGCTTGGAAACGATAGGGCTCCTAAATAAAAAACGCAAACAGATTGTGTAATCATGACTTGAGACCTCTGAGAGGGGGTTCTGTTGCAGGCATGGATTGACGCGGTGAGTAAGGTTCAAAACAGGCTAGTTTTGATGTAATTTGCTGCTACATGGTGGGGGTTTTCCACACGCCAGTATTAGCTGCAGTAGTGCGAGTTGTGTTTTCTTATTTTTTGCTTTTCAGTGTGTAGTATAAACAACTGTGAGAACAGAACACAGTTCTCCTTTCACTTTTGTGATTTGTGCAAGAGCTGGGAATTGGCACACAGTCTCTCTTGGTTAGGAGTTATTACTGCTAGCGGTGATTTCTTTTTGTGAATTTTTTCTAGCTTATGAAAGTACAAATCAGTTTCAGGAGGTTAATGTCAGTTCCTGTTATCTGGCAGTTGGGCTCACCTGTTTACATGAAGGACATTTTCCCAATAGAGTGCAATAGGCCTTTCGTCACTGAATCCTGTAGGTCGCAGGTTTATAAGACAGACTTTGGAACTGTAAGCGTAAGCTCCTGTTACTGTACGTTGACATAAACGTAACTGCAGTTTCTTTTTTTTTCTTAGGTAAATGTCTTAGAAGGAAATTCATTGAATAGCTTTTAAGCTGTCCATGTGCCTTTGTTTGATGAAGTGCACAACGTTAGTCTCAGAGTATCCTTTATTTCTCTGGATTTTGCAGCACAGGAACCGGAGCGCTGAACCAATTTACCCTGACAAAGTAGCAGCCTACAGTAACACAGTCTTTGTCAGGGCTCAGCTTCTTGCAGATTCAAAAAGGCCTTTACCAGGCCAAACTGCAGATCAGGAATGAGATGTTTGTTGTAGTGTGTTTATGTTTACGTCTGTGTTGTTGTAGAGTTTTGCACCCCTGGAGTTGGACAGTCTAATGACTCCCTTTCTCCCTTACCGGGCTCACGTTTTCCTCCTCCTCCTATGAAACGGAAGGGAAGTCTTTGCTCTTTAGTTTCTGTCCTCATGTCCGTACAGCTGGTGCTCTACAACTCTCTCTCTGTGTCCCACTCTTTTCCACCACTTGCCCTCTCTGATCAGCACGCCCCTCTGTAGGCGACAGGGCAATAAACCTGAGTGAGCCTGACTGGCCTGCTGCAGCCTGTCTTTCCACACCCACTGACACTAGGGAACAGCGGAGAACTCATCACATTATTATATGTTTGAATGTTATGCTTATTTATTATTTTTATAGTGCATTTACTCATAATGTGGTGCAGTGATTTAAGAAATCCACTTTTGTGTGAATTCAAATCTGAAGTCTAAGTTCTACATTTTGGTGAAGTGTGATGACCGAGTAATGGAGACGTTCCAAACAACACGGTCGCTGACTTAGTCAGTCACCTGAATCCCCAGTGACTCATTGCCATCAGACTAGGCATGTGGATATGAAGAAGGGACACAGTCAGAACTGACACGCACACATTTTACACATTTACAGGGTCCACAGCCGAAATTAGATTCTTCTTTCTCTTCCTTTGCAGCCCATGTGCATTGATGCAACTCCCCGCTCCAAGTACATTTTACACAAACAGAAAATCCTACCGACTGTAAATATTTGAATTAACCCTGTGTTGTCTTCTTACCTAAGATCACACCTGAAGAAGGCTCCACAGCCAAAATGTCGTGTTTTCTTCGTTCTCTTTTCAGCATGGAATAAACCTTTTACTTGTTCCTTTGCAGCCTGCGTGTGCTGACGGAGCTCCCTACTTGAACTGCTTCTTACCTGAAATCTACTGATCAGGAGTGTTTTTGAATGCTAGTGTTTATAGTTGTTGGTGTTCCAACCTCCTTTTGCTTCAGGTTTTAATAGGAGCAACTAAGAGTTTAATTCACCTGATTAAGTGGGAGGAGCGTTATGTCAAATTGTGACTCCATATCTTATGATAATTGTTGGGGAGTAATTTTTGGGAGTAGCTGTAGTCTTGTGAGAACCTGGGGGGAGTAGATGGAGTAGTGGGTTGTACATGTGGGACTTCCTATATCAATAAACTGCACTTAATTGCATTCTCAGTGTTTTTTGAGCCTCATGGAGTGTCTGTTTTTCCCTCAACAACATCACAAGAGGTTTTTTTTTGTATGTTTAGTGATTATGTTTTTGTTAAGCTAGATTGCGTTGTATGTTTTGTAAAGCTCTTCTGAGTGCATGATAGTAGCAGAAGAATGTGGTTGGACAGTTTGTCGACTGTCTGGTCGCATTGCTCACGGTTTTGTGTTTCCGTCTCTCCCCCTCTTTCTTTTCCTCTCCGCATCTCTCTCGACCTCGACCGCCCCCGCTCCTCCTCCTGCCTGCCTGCCCTGTGCAGGGGGCTCCTCGGAAGGGCGGCCTGTGGTGCGCTACAGCAAGGACCAGCGCCCCACCACCCTGCCCATCCAGCCCTTCATCTTCCAGCACCAGCTGAGCAAGCAGCCCAAGCTGCGCCCGCTGCTGAGCGACTACGTCAGCCAGATGTACAGCCGGCCCAGCGGGCAGCCGGCACGTGACCGGGGCTTGCAGAGAGAAGGGGAGGACGGGGAAGAAAAGGAAAGAAACGGGGCGAAGAAAGTGGCCCCGGATTCCGTGCGCCCCTCCCCTCTGGGTAGCTATTCGCCTGTCCGCCATGGGGCACCCAGCTCCGAAACGTGCTCCACCTGCACCCCGAGTCCAGACAAAGGCCACAGCACCAGTCAGCCCACGCGAAGCCTCTCATGCCCCTTGTCTGCCAGCCTTCTGCCCGTCCGGCCATCCCCGGTGCCCTGTGGGATTGTTCTGCCGCCTGGCAACGCCAACCAGACCAGAGAGTTCAGGGATGTCGTCCCGAAGGAGCCTCAGCAGGCCACGCCTCCGCAGGCCCCGAGGAAGGAACCATCGTCCTTCCTCCCATCTGTCTCGGGGTGCAACGTCCACCGCAGTTCTCTCCCCACGCTGCCCACTTCTGGGTTCAGCCCGCTGGGACACCTAGAGCCGGCACAGCGCTGTGGAAGCAGCGAGGGAGTCCGAGCCAGTGCAGCCAACTGTATGGGTGCCCGCCCACCCAATGGTACATATCCAGCCTCCTGATAACGCAGTACACTCTGTTGTTTTATTGGCTTCCAGACATCCCTCTGTGAGGGTTCTGGTTATGTTTTCAGCACTGTTTCAGGTTTGAGTTTACAGGCGCCTCTGCACTCTGGCTTTGTGTCTTTCACATTGTTCCTTCTTTCATTGCTTTTCATTTTCTGAATGCAAGACTGTTGCTTCTTCAGTGCCTGCCTACTTGGTAAAATAAGCTCTAGAAGACAGCTTAAGATAAAGAGGTGATCTGCAGAAATTATCTTGTCTGTTCCTGCAACAAGTTGACTACTTTGAGTAGTAAACTATACAGTTGTAATTTTACTAATCCTGCAGCAGCCTGAGGGTCTTCACAAGAGTGATGCTCTATTATCAAGATCTAGCACTTTAATACTAGTAATTCCTTAGATAGATTCCTTCTCGGCATGCTTTGTAAGGTTTCCAAAATCCTGATGCACACAGGCTGATGTAACACTAGTCATTCTGCATCAGTAAACCACTTTGCAGAACATACTGTAGGACAAAAAGTGCAAACTCTGAAAAGCTGTCAGCTTGTCCTTAAATAGAACTTAATTTAGAGCGAGTTATACTGAGAACTTTAATATGGAACCAAAAGAAAATAAATTGATTGAATGGCAAAAAAAGCTAATAATTATGTCCTCTAATTCTTCTACATTTGGAAGAATAAAACGTAGAATTACCAGAAGCCATTATATTGTCCTTTAATTTTGTAGTCGGAGTATATTCTCTTATTGCCTTTGATCACTTCATGATGTTCTGAAGAAAGATCTGCTTTTATTTTGTCCTCTGATCGAGTAGCTGAAGGAAGAGAAACTCTCTTAGGTCTTTCCTTTCTCTAACAAATGCTTTCTTTTCCTCTCTGTCCCCCTGTTTGTCTCTGCCTCTGCCTGCACACCTCTTTGTGCGTCTCCTTGCCCCCCCCCCAGCAAACCACCTCTCCCCTCAGGCCCTAAAGTGGCGGGAATATCGTCGTAAGAACCCCCTGGGCGTGGACCGGGCAGTGGGAGCCCCTCTGTCGGGCAGCTTGGACACCCGGAGACCGGAGGGCAGGCTGACCCGCCGCAACGTGTTTGACTTTCCAGCCTCTGCCATCCATGCCCATTCCAGGCTGAACGGTGCTGCTCCTCAGCCAGTCGTAGATTCAGGCGGTGGGGGAGGGGAGTGTGTGTTGAGGGGTCTTAGCATGTATGGATTTCTTGTGCGGGTTTCAGTCAGCTTCACTTCATAAAAGGCACAGACATGAGTCTTTTATATGATGGCAGATGTTTAGGTTATTTTACAGTAACAATGTGTAGTAGGCGTATTTGTGACTGTGTGAACGTGTGTCCATATGGACAGACCACAGGCAGGCACATAAACAGGGTCTGTCTGGTTCTGAGGAACTGAAGGTGGCTAAGGCCTAGGATGTGGCACTTTGGGACGTGAGCCCTCCGAGGCAAATCAGATTGCTGCTGGCAACCGGCCCTGACAGACCAGTGAGTGACGCTCTTTACTCTGGAGCAGAATTTCCAAACCGATGCCCAAGAGTGGTAAATGGTGAATAGTAGATGCTGTCTTTTCAGACGAGGTTCTAAACTGAAGCCCGTGGTTATTAAAGAACGAGGCTTGTTTATTAAATAACAATTCGTAAACGTTGGGTTGTGAACCCTGTGGTCCTTTGAGTTTGCCAGTACAGCCTACCTAACATTCCCCGTTCTTTTTTTTTTCACTTTTCCATCCCATCTGCTGCGTAGTGGGGCTCCTGGTGCACAAAGGCCACTGGGCATCACTCAGGTGCTGCTGCATTCCAGTGGTGGACTTGACGCACATACAGTACCTCAGAAGGAGCACAAACCTCATGCTGAGAAAAACATGCTGACATGTGTTGACAGCATTGCCTAGAATTCTGTTTTTCAGTGCGCATCAAACTTTAGCCTTTCCCCTGGTTGATTTGCAGCTGTTTACTTGTTCTCTTGTTTACTTCTTAGTCCTGTTGTTGGAAGCAGCAGCTAATTGGTGTGTGCTGGTCTCCTCAACAGGCCAGTCCATGAAACAGCTACAGAATTACTACAGCGACTTCTTCCCAGACTACTTCTCGCTGACTGAGAGGCCACCTGAGGAGTTCTGTCTGTCCCCCGATGCCACAGCCGAGTCCATCTCCATCGACCTGCTGCAGAAGAAAGGTGAGAGAGGCATCGATGCGTCTTCTCGACTCTTCGAAATGATCTGTTTCTGTTACCAGTTCCTTTTATCTGAGTATGTGTTACATGTGGAACGCAACCTGAGGAGAGTCCTCACCACCGTCTTATACAGTAGATAGACGTGGGAGGATGAGGATGCTTGGTTACATCTTTCTTGAAGACATTGTGTGCAATATTGGGGTTGTTACTTTATTATTACCGTTTTAACAGTTAGTATTATTCTGTCATTTGTGCATTACACAAGTCTCTGGCATTGATATTAGTTGTGCTTAGTACGTAAACATAAGAAGTAAAATTGAAGGCTTCATTTTTGTTTTCCCAACCTTGAATAGGCATGTCGTCTGAACTATTGAAGCACTACCAGTTGTTCACAGGAATGTTGGCTAGTTTTTACCACCAAAAGCTGAGAAGTCTAGTAGTTATAGACCATGTAAGTCTTTTGTGATATGTCTCAACCAAGATTCAATCTTGGTAAATGCTTTCAAGAAGAATACAGGTACAGTATGTTTTCTGTCATACTCATCATCAAAAAGAGCTGGCAGTGCTTTATGCTTTGTTTGCAAGAGAAAAGTATCACTTTTAAGATCACCGAGATAGAGTTGGGAGGCGTCAGTCATGCTGTGTATTTACTTTCCATCAGATTGCTTGCATTGGTGTTGTGACTTTTCTCTGTTGCACTCCTAATTTGTCTTGGAGCAGTGCAGTGAAGTCTATTGTGCCATTTTATTTTGTTTTATTCTCTCAGGTTTGGTGAAGACTGTAAATACAGCAGTGGACTTGATAGTGGCTCATTTTGGGACTAGTCGAGACCCTGGAGTGAAGGTAGAGTCAAGTTCATTTTGCATCTATGGTTCCTTCTTTCCTTTATTGGAGTTTAGAAGTGTTAATCCCAGTGTCCTGGTAATATTGCTGGATTTCTTGATGAATAAATGTCTGTGTTGGTGTACTTCTAAAGCTTTAGGAAAAAAACTAAACAGATTAAGTATCATACGTGAAAAGAAATATTTGATACAGTATTTATTATTCTAATTTTATTTCTAAAAAGATGAATAAAATGATTATTGTTCTTAATTCCATATTGAAATTATAGATTACAGATTGCGTTTTAATTGCCTTTTATCAGTGTTAAATGTTCTTTTTCACCTTTCATTAGTTTTCATGCCATTTCTAGGCAATTCTTTTGGGTGGTTCCTCTGTGCTGTGTGTTAGCCTGTGTCCCAGTCCCTGCTGAGGCCCTCTCTGTGTGTCTGTGTGCCAGGCCAAACTGGGAAATAGCTCTGTGAGTCCCAACATAGGCCATCTTATCCTGAAGTACCTGTGCCCGGCCATGAGGGAGATATTGCAGGATGGGCTCAAGCCCTATGTGCTGGACATGATCATTGGGCAGCGCAAGAGTGTGCCCTGGAGTGTGGTAGAGGCGTCCACACAGCTGGGTGAGTACATGTACCAGCCTTGTCGGCTTTTGTTGTTCATCTGGCAGTTTCTCTCTTTTTTTACTGTATCTGTCAGTGTGACTCCTCTTTTTTCTCCCTTTGTAGATCCTCCTACTCTTTCTCTGTATCTCTGCCTCTCCATTTCTTTGTGCCCAGTTTCCAAGCTGTAAATATTATACTTAATTTACCAAACTAAAAATAAAAAAAATGGATGAAGAAGCTGTTGTAGAAATCTGAGCATTGGTTATTTCTTAAACGGGATTTGAGAGTTCGAGCTGGACTTGTTTTATTCCTGGGTGACTTGTGGGACCTGGAGAGCAGAGTACTCTCTGAGCGTTAGTTCTGTGGGGGTAACTGTCTCCCGTCTCTCTGCAGGCCCTTCAACCCGCGTTCTGCACAGCCTGTATTCGAAGGTCAGCCAGTACTCTGAGCTGACCAGCCACAGCATGAGGTTCAACGCCTTCATCTTCGGCCTGCTCAAGTGAGTTCACCTGCGCCTGTAAATCCACTCTGTTCCTGGCTTCCTTTAACAGGGCAAGCATTGCTGGATCTGAGTTACACAGTTTTGTATGATTTATAATTTAAAATTAATTTGACACACATTTCTTAATGGAGATGTATGCCTAACTTCTGATGCTCCTTATGAATTGTTAAAGTAAAGCTCGATTGGATGGGGTTTAAGTGTTTAATCTAATTGCTGGGTCTGTCTTTGTTGAACATCTCCTGTCAGGCTTATACGTGATGTGTGTTTGAACATAATGTATCATACTTAATTGAGTTCGGTTTTATAGGAAACTAAGCAGTGTTTCTGTATTGTTTTTTTCAAAGCAGAAAAAATTGTTACCTAACGCTTTGGGGTGAAGATACCCAGCTACTTCATGTCTTGCGTTTACTGTCTCTGTGTTATGAAGTAAATAATAAACTGCATTTGTTTACATTTCAGCTTGCACTCTTTGGAGTTCTGGTTCAATCACCTATACATGCACGAAGGTGGGTACCTTTCAAAATGTCTTGTAAGAAGAACCCTATCTCACAGCGGAATAGTCTAACCATTGTTACCTTCTGGAGCTCAGGGCTTTGCTTCATTTGTTGGTAATTGCAGTAAGGTTTTGAAATGAAAATGAAAATATGCGCTCTATCATTGTGCCTTTGTATCTACCCCTAGATTTTGGTCTCAGCTCTGTTGTGTTCCGATCACTTCAGTTACGGCACTGGAGTTATGTCAGATTGGCCAAAGAGCATGCTGGCTTTCCCCCGGATGCGTTACACGTATGCCCCTCCTCATCCTGCCCTTGCCACTTCTTCCCTTCCTTTCCCAGACATCGTGGGAGCGCACTATCACCCGTGGGGCTTCCTGCCCCTCTCTCAGGGAGTGTGCCAGCCGCTGTTCGAGGAGCTGCTCCTGCTGCTGCAGCCGCTGTCCCTGCTGCCCTTTGACCTTGACCTGCTCTTCGAGCCCCGGCTGCTGCAGAAGGGCCAGGAGCAGCGGCGACGCAAAGAGCAGCTGTGCTCGGCGGGCCAGGGCCTGGAGCAGTCCGTGCGCTCCACCTTCCAGCTCATGAGGGGCCGGGGCCCAGCGCCGCCACCCCGCGAGGGGGCGGAGCTACGGAAGGAGGGGGCGGAGACCGAAGTCAGGCAGCCGGGACCGAGGGTGGATCCGAACGCGACGGAAGCGGAGCAAGGGAGAGAACGGAGCGGGGAAAGGAGGCGGACGGGGAGGGCAACAGAGGGGCTACGAGAGTGTGGAGGAAGTGGGAAAGGCGGTATCGTACAGAGGGCAAAGGGAGTCGGAGGGGAATCTTGGTGGGACAGAGAGGAGGGCGAGAGGGAGAAGAGGAAGGAGCAGCAGATGCCAGAGGAGGCCAGACAGAGAGACAGGCAGGCAGGGTGGTGGTATCAGCTCATGCAGAGCTCCCAGGTCTACATTGATAACTCGGCTGAGGGAGCAAAGTTTGTCAAGTGGGAGAAAAGGAAGAAACCAGCAGGAGAGCTGTCTGGGTGTCCAGCACAGGTATCCAAAGGCCAGGATAGTGGGCGCAGGCAGGCCCAGCCACCCCCTAGGGAGGGAGTGGTGGAGGGAGCAGAAGCCAGCCAGGAGACAGATGCCAGAAAGGAAAGCAGTAGTGATTTGAGCTGGAGTGGCAAAGGGAAGCCATCTTGGATGGGCAGCCCTCCCGACTCTGTGCTCAACGAGCTCAAGCAGAGCAAGGAGAAGGAGCCAGAGATGCCGGGGGCTGGCGTGACATGTGGATCCCAGGAGGAGGTGACCTCGGAAGGGGCCACCCAAGGACTGCGCTGGGGGAGGCTGTTTGGGGCTGGTGTTAGGTCCCCTTCCCGGCTGCAGAAAGCAGAGAGAGCTCAGAAGAGCAGGTTAGAAACCTCTTCCAAGTCTTTAACAGCAATACATCCATGTGCCTCCAAATAATGTCAGGAAACATGTGTTTTTTACAAAATGCTAATTCAGAATTCTGAATTGAGTACATGGAAGAAGGTTTTGTGGAAGTGGAAATACAAATATTTTAACTATTCCATAAAAAAAACTGTAATTTTCTAAGTGAATGTTATGTGTGAAGAATACATTGAAATAATGCAGAACCTCAGTATGGTAAAAAAAATCAATGTACAGTAACTTCTTGTTGAAGAGCAAGAGTTTTGTTAATCCTTTCAAATGGTGACATTTTAGAGAGTGACATGACTCTTATGCTAAATATAAAACCTTTCCATGTGAAAGAGTGAAACAAGCAAATGTTTGAAGAAGCACGCATTTTATTTTCTAGCTTTTCAAGTAGCTTTGAACATTTCAGTTTTCATCTTCCTTTACCTCCTCCTCCATCTCAGGCTGCCCTCGGGATGGCTGAGCTTGGACAGGTCGATGCTGGACCTGGTGGCACAGACTATGGGAGCAGGGAAACGCACAGACCTTCCCCCACAACAGCAGGCCCTGCCCTCCACCAAAGAGCAGGGTCCCGCACAGCAACCAGAAGCACAGGCACCCAAGCAGCAGGCACTGTGGTAACAAAACAGTCTGTTCATAACCTCATACTGTACAAGTAGTGTTTGAATATTGTGCTCGCATGAGTTTGTACTGTATGTGTGTGCTCCTTGTTTTAAAGTAGCATCATGTGTTTCTCCTTTAACAGTCTAGTCACATCTATTCTTATCCATGTCCTTCACTCTGTAAGTATGGCTAACCTTTTGTGACAAACGCAAAAAAAGCTATTCCCCCGTTTAGCTCTCCAACTAGTAGGACCGTATCTAATGAAAAAATAAAAGGAGGTGGTTTGTAATATGCTAGGGGCCTGACGTATTTTGTAGTATTGACAATCTTTTATTGTATAGTGGTATTGCTCATTTTAAATCTCAATCTCAGTATGGACTTCACTTCCCAGTCAAAACAGACCTGTATTTTTCATATATTTTGGTTACCCAACATTCTACCTTTCAGCACTTGTGAGAACACAATAAAATGTATTGTATTCAGTTGTACTATACAGTATGTGTATCCTTCAAAAAACACCACCTCTTTTTGCAGCTTTGTCTTTGCAGGAGTCACTGTCCGCCACCCCCTGCCTGAGGCTAATTTTTGCTTCTGTCCCCCTGCAGGGAGGTGAGGGCGCTGTGTCACCACATAGCCACAGAGCCTGGCCAGCTCAGCTTCAACAAGGGGGACATCCTGAGGGTGCTGAGCAGGGCCGAGCCAGACTGGCTGTACTGTGCCCAGGGAGACAGCTATGGCCTAGTGCCTATCATCTATGTCACCCTGTTGGAAGGGCTGCAGGGCAATTGAGCTGCCCCACCCAGGAGGAGGGGCTGGGCTGAGGAGGGACCGGGGATAGCCAAAAAACACAGACCCACCTCCTTCCGGACAGACCACCGGAAAGTACTCTCATACACGTGCACATACAAGTACCGATCGATGCACACTCAAACTCAGTGCAGGAGGGCAGGCACTCCATTGCCTGCTGTGTCATGCCATCCTGGTCGCCTTGACAGACTGACTCCAGCTTTCATTAAACCGTCAATGATATCTTATTCTAGATCTGTCTTTATCTCTGACTATATCCAAGTTATGGGTATCTCGAGGCAATAGATGCATAAATTGTCACAGTCAAGTGAAATGAGATTTGTTTACCATCTTTGAAAACAGCTGTAAAATCCTCTGATATGTTGATATACGGGAATGTGCACTACTTTTCTGTGCACAGATCCTAATGGAATAGTTAATATTTAACAAAAAGTTTGGAACTCTAAGGAACAAGAAAGGGGAAAGGGCTAGATTTATTACAGTTGGAGCGCTTGCTGCGATAGAAGTGTAATTGATTACATTTGCTGTACATTAAGATCAAAATGTCTGTTGTACGCTACAGTACAGAATGATGCTCGACTTCAGCCATAGGTGTGTTTACAGTTTTTAATAAGACAGTGTTTTGTTGCATAAAATCTCATAAGTTTATTTTAGAGAAATAATTAGCATCAACTAAAAAACTTACAAAAATCCCACAAGCTGGATTTGCTTTTGATAATAAAAAAATGCTTTTTAAAGCATTTTGCGAGGTGGTGCCACAATTCCTGCAATAAACTGGTGTCCCACCCAGACTGGTGTGCTGCTGTGCACCCTGTGCTTCTTTAATAAGCAGCTTTCTAATAAGGGATGAGTGGATGGTACCACAACTCATTGGCAGTGTATTATACTTGGAGCAAATGTGATGTATCTAGACATTTCAGAGGATTTTACTGCTCTTTACCATCTTTTCTAAGTCTTTTTTTCAATAGAATGTCCAAATTGTAGTTAAACCATGCGTGTGCATTCTGTCTTCTCTGTATTTTACCAGTCACGCTGGTTGAGGAAAAATAATGCAGTACTGCGCAGAGTTATAAATCCACTAATAATACATATTTATCAAGGGTGTTTTAATATGGCTTGTTAATAAAGATTAATCACTATGTAAAATAGGTGTCTAATAATACTGGGTCTATAGTACTCTAGACTCCACACCCTGATTTAGATTTCACATTAATGCCAGGAAAATAAAAGTGGATTTCATTCTAGTATGTGTAACTAATGCGGGATGGAATAATCAACCCTCTAGTTGAAAGATGCATTACATTTGGTTGATCTCTTAAATCCAAAGAAAGATATGAAATACCTGGGCATCTTTACACTAAAATGTAAGGTGAAGAATTTTTCTGCTTAAAAAAAAACATGACACAAACACATCTACGCCTGTTCAGGCCCCCTTTGTATTAATCCATATGGAGTCCTTGACATTTTGCCATGATTCTTTTTTTCTGACTAATGCTGATGAGAGCATTCCCACCAGTGGATTTCAGTCAAGAGAGAGGACAGCCGCCTTACTGTACAGATATTCTCTCGGACTTTTCCATGGCAATTAAACTGGGTGACCAGCAGCCATTCCCAGACTTGACCCTGTTTGAACTTCATGTTGCAGAGATCCGGTGAGGTCTTGAAACCTGGGCCCGCTCGGGAGAGCACTCTCAGGACCCACCACCTACAGTAGATCCAAACTACTGAAGAAGATCCGCGGCTGCAATGGACAGTTACAGTACATTGTGTATTGAGACCCCCTTTCTGGCTCCAGGACCAGGCGCTGTCTGTGCTTCAGTTCATCAGCAGAGAACTGTTAGAGCTACAGGCAGGGAAAAGGGGAGAAGGAGCATGTGTCCCCACAATAAACATACTGCATCCCCTCTCTGCATTCATTCAATGAACTCTGAGCTCCACAAAGGTGTAGGGAAACACAAAAACCTATATACAGTACAAATAATATATGTGTTGCATTTAATTTATTTATTAAATATGTAACTTATTCCAGGTAGTGTATAGCTGCATAGTGATGTGCAGTACAATAGTTAAGGATGTAAAAGGAAGCGAGCAGGCCAGCAAGGATTCAGGATTCAGCAGACAGAGGAGAAGCCAAGGCTCTTGGGCACAGCCCTCGCTCTGCAGTAAAAAAAAAATCCCCATAGGTCTGGCAATTTCTGTGGTATGAAAAACGCAATAGTGAGATAGTAATCCACTACTAAGAAACCTTAGTACTATACTAAATACTATAAAATAGTCTAGGCAGGGGCATCAGGAGTCTGAAGGGCCAGTATGTCTGCAGGTTTTCAAGGTTTCTTTAAAGCAGCAGCACCTGAAGACCTGGGGGCAGATGTTAAATTGGTCCAATTAAGTCTCTAATCAGCTGGTTTAGCCTAAGAGCTGAGTTGGAATGAAGACCTGTGGACATACAGTCCTTTCAGGACCAGAATTGAACACCTCTGGTCCAAAATATGACCTTCAAACTTAAATTTAAGAGATCTGGATACAGACAAAACAGTAGTGATTACATTCTCATTTAATTTCTATTTCATTGTATGTATTTCTTTTGTTCTCAGATTTTTGCATTGTTCCATTATGCAGTGCACCACTGTACTCATGACCCATCTTAAAAAAAATAGACAAGGTGCTAAAACTTTACTTACCAAAACACACATCACATTGACTGCACTGCTTTTAAAATTGGTATATAAGTGTGTGCATTTCACAGATATTTAAAATTGTAACATGGCATTAACTTGTGATATAACACACCGACCCTTCTAAAAGTAAACATCTGAATTTTGAAAGAAACGAATAATGCTGATCAAATAATTTTTGGAATTGGAAAGGGAATATTCAGTGTGTTTCTATTCCAGGGTGTGATGAATATTGTCACTTGGTTATTGGGGCATTAGATATATTTTTTTCCTTGTCTTTTAGCAATCATCTCTATCAGGGCTGTTAAAGAAGTTTTAAACATTTAAACTAAACAAACCAATTGAGCTTTAAAGGAATACATCATAAAGTAGTCAGAGATACACTGCTTGTGTTTTTAACAGGCAATGTCCAAATACTCGCATGCATTTTTAATTAATGCTTTGTAATGTCACCTTTTTTCTTCTTTAAAAATATTACTTTTAGAGTTGAATACTGTAAATAATATAATTACCACAGCTATTTTGCTGACAACATAATGTAGCTGAAATTGGGTCCTGAGGAGGGATTAAGATTCTTTATTTGCAATTTTGTAAATAAGAGAAGATATGTGATATGAATTTTTATTTGCCATTGTGGCACAATGAGGTTAGTGGACATGTGTTAGATCAAGAGGTGTCATGATCTTATGATCAAGCAATGAAAGTCCTTTTGAATCAGCTATTTGTCTTCATGGGACTGATTCAGAGTTAAGAGAACAAAATGGGCTACTGTACAATTTAAAACTGAATCCACTAGGTATTGCTATTGTTATCTGAAACAAATCCAGGGACTGAGGTTCCTGAAAGCTTTCTGGACTTGCTTTGCTTCCTATTTACATCCTTGGCAGAAATGACAGGCAGTATTACTGGGAGAGGAGAGACAGTATTGGTGCCTTTTGGGAGGACAGTTCTGTGGAGTTGTCAGCACTGCCTAGACCTGCACACACAAGTTGAATCCTTCTTAACTGCTTGATGTTTGAGCTTCAGGAAAATAGTTCTGTAAAGGGAGCAGCAGGTATATATGTACATGTATTTATTATTTTCTGTCTGTTAGTATAATAACTCCTGCTTGTACATATTCCAGGTGGCACCAATGTTTTCTTTTATCAATGCTATATAATGTGTATGGCATTATTAATTTAAGGTGGCTATTAATAACAAGGTGCTCATGTGAACACAACCTAATACCAGTGTCGTGTTTTTTTTTCATTTTCAAAAAAAATGTTAATCTCCTGGTGTTTCTTCTGTATCTTTCATCAAAATGTTCTCTGTGAAATTTTGAAACCAAAGCCCCATTATAAGAAAGACTGCTCTGAAAGAGATCCCATGCTTTGGATGAAATGTTTGAACCAAAGCTTACTTGGCCAGTAAAGATCCATGGATATTTTTCTTTTTAAAGAGTGGGACTTTTACCCTAGGGTCCTGGTTAAATTTTACTCTGGTTTCACGCAACCTTAAATTCCCTCTTAATCTCCCCTTCCTCAATCCCTCCTCCTGACTGAACAGTTGACACATACTGTATTTCACCATGCTGGTGGGTGCTCTACTTGCTGAATGAGGTTAATCCTCTCCTTTATGTAAAGTACTTTGGGATATGATATGATGAAAACCACTATATAAATACAGGGAACCATTTTATTTTGATATTTCATGTTAATGCAAGTTACGTTAAATCTTAGGCCAATGTAATTCAGATCTTCAGATCTAATTGAGATTCTTTTAGATCATATTTAAGTTAGAGGTAATCATTCTGAGTGCTTGATTCAAAAGCCTATGACTTAACTGCACAGGGACATGGAGAGAACAAAACTAAATGTCAGCAAAAAATTCAGCTGAAATGTGAAAGTAACATTCAGCAAAAAATTATATGATTGTGACTGAAATGAAACAGGATTTTTGAATATCCGAACTGCAAAAATACAGCAGCACATAGTTAAGTGTTCATTCTATTTGTCTGCATGATTACCGGCCTCTAGTGGGTGCTGGCTGTACAGCCACACATTTCTGCAAAAGAATAAAAGGCATCAAATATTGTCATGTAATACTGTCCGTCAAGCCCTGTTGCTTCTTTGCAGTTAAAATGGACAAAAATGTATATTTTTTAATTGATCTTCATCTTAGAACAGCATTGGAAAGCATATAATGAAAAAAAATTCATATAATGAAAAAATAGGAAATGGATATTTTTTCCTATTCAAATAAAGTGAAATGAGACGTTCCCAAGGTACTGTGGGTTTTCATATTTCACAGATGATCCTAACAAAGAACCACAGAGTTAAGATCTTATATTTTTACAGAATAAGAGTTACATTATGCATTATAGAATTATTTTATACATACGTACTTGTGCAGAATAAACTGGAAACCAGACTAAAAAGAAAGTGAAATAAAATGGCACTTTTTATACAGAGAGCTGTAAAGATCATATTTAAAAAGGCCTTTAAATATTTTCAATACATTTCATTAAGGACACAATATTTATCATGAGTTAGGTCAAACAGATAATCGAGTGTTATTAATATTGCTTTAAAGTGCAAAGTGGCTAAACAAATGTCCATAACATTTCACAGCAGGACGGAAACAGCCATATTTGTACAGAAGGGGCATAAAAGAATTTTAACAGAATACCAGATACTTTTGTGAGTGATTGTACAGTTTCATTGAGTGTTTGGGGCTTTATCAATATAATTTATTCACTGTTCAGTGCATTAGAATGGAACACTGTAATGGTATAAAACATCAAATTCAATCAAATCCACCACATGAAGATCAATATATATCAATCTGAAATAACAGTAGTTTTTTTTTAAATATTGCACCTTTGATTTTTTACTGATCAGATAAGTAGAAGAAATTGACATTTCAAATGAAGTTAATAAAGCTGACCCCCGCCCATGGAAATCATTTGTGCTGTGATCTGGCTCATCTAAAGAGTAAACAGCTTAAAACAGACTGTAGCAGCCTAATTTTCAGACCTGATTAAATGCTGTTCACATGCTGGAAACTTCATCCATTTCAAATCTCTACTCTATTTCTAAAGAGAACTCAGAGACTTTAAAATAAAACAATTTAAAAAGACCTGAGTGTAAAATAAATCATTCCTCTTTTTCACTGAATCACTGCAGGAATCAGGAGTTGATAGTTTTATCCCTGTATTTCACTGACAATGTGAAGAGGTTACCACTTCAGGGCTGGTCTTCACTAAGCTGCCATCTGTTTCTGAACAGTGCTGAGACCCAGGGAATTGTGGGTGAGATGTCCAAAGGTATGGCCATACTGGAACCTGTACCCTGTAGTGAAAGAAGATGCAGAAAACCATGAGTCTTCAGAAATACAAAAAAAAATTATGAAGCTGGTATACCTGATTCATACTTTTATTAAACACAACTAATTGTGTTCAGTAAATAAACACAATGGGCTATTCTATATTAACTCTATGTTATGATGTGTAGATAGATTCAAGATTTGCCTTCTATACAGCAGCTACTTGATTGGAACACCACCTCCAGTTTCTATAACTTGTAGACATACTGTACAGTGCGTTCCAAACTGTACCTGAAAGCATAACATCCCCAAACATTCAGTTTAGTTTGAATTGTAAATGCTTGACCAAAATACCTAATAGTTCCCAATATGTATTTTACATGCTATACTGTTAAGTCAAATTTGATCTGTTTATATACTGTTACTATTTTTTACTAATACACTACAACTTACTGTTACGTATCCATGCTTGTAAAAGTCTCAGTTATAAAAGGATATGTCCCTCCAACTATCTTTACATGATGTGAAAAACTGACATTTGCTCCTCATACTTTTAAACTGGTTTTGAAAGCTCACCCTTCCTGTGTGTATTTGCATTTTTGTTTACCTAAAAAGCAGATTGTTTTTAAAACCCTGCAAGTTGTGGAACATTGCAACTTTCTCCCTACAGCATCTAAGGTAAACGCTGTTGAGATATTCTGTAGCCTTTTTTGACTCCGCAGATCACAATCTACAGGGATGTGGCTGTTCACAATCGCCCTTGGGCAGTCCCTGATGCCTGGGGATCCTACATGCCGATGATGTGATTCACTCACCGGGCACGTGACCAGTGTAGGAGGGCAAGAGACCCAGGTTTGATGGGTAGATCGTGGAGATCGGAGGAAGACTGTATCCCACTCTGGGTTCCCCTGGAAGTGGGAATGTACCAGGGTCACTCTTGTTTATCTCCTGATTGAACTGGATAAGGGCCTTGTTGGTGGTTATCGGATAGCCGGTGCCCATGAGGAAACGAGCTTTCGGGACGTATCCAGTGAAGCCTGTGTGGAAAAACACAGTCCAACACTGAGAGTGCAGTTTGCAGCAGAATCCCTCGAGTTCAAAGAAATCTTAAGACTTAATTACTAAATAATATATTATTTCTGAGGAAGTCTTTTTTTGCTCCATATAAAAACTGCATTCCATGAAAGGCTGCCATCCATCATATTATACAGCATAATGCTGCATGTCTGGCTTCAGTCTGCATTACAGCATCCAGCCGATCTGTTGCTAAGCGATAACAGTACCACCTTGATAGCGGTCAGAAACAAGTTACATGTGGTGCATCAAGGGACTCTGTACCTTGGGTCTTCTTTTTTAACATCTATACAAATTGCCTGTGGCATGTGACATTCCACTTCTAAACTCCTAAGAAAGGGAAGTACAGTATGTACTGTAGGATATGTGATGATTTGCATCACACACTAACTGGTTTTATTAGAGAAGGTCTTTTACCTGAGATGAAATACTTGTGGGGGTTTTCATTGTCCATGAAATACGGGGAGCCATGTGGATGCCAGGCTTCTGGGGAGAGATACGGAGATGCCTCTTTGGAAATGGGTGCCAGAGCGGTGTTATAGCGAGGGAGCTGTGGATAGACATCCAGACATAATTCACTGTTGGTTAATTTCTTAAATTCTTTATTTTTTTGTGGATGGTTTTCAATAAACATAATCATTAATTTGAGAAGAGATCTTGTTAAACTGAAGAACAATAAAGGGATAAAACTCATAGTGATAAATATGTACAATGCCTTGCACAATATTCAATATTCACAGTATACATCCCTGACCTTCATGTTTTGCAGAAGTACTACACAGAAATAAACTCTCAAAATAACCTTTTTTTTATGCAGACCAGTAATTATCAAAATGAACACTGCAGGTTTTGCTGACATTACTGCATTGTATTCCACTAGACACAGACTTCTGTTTTCAGAGTTCTAATAAGGTCTTATTTTTATTTTTGATCATTTCATTCCTGCTGAGTTTTGGAGTTAAAGGTGTAAAGCTGATTTGCAGTTGAACATAAAATACTGTTCCTGAGCACAACATGAAATGACTTTGGCAGATTACATTTTACACTTTACTGAAGGTGGGGTATCATCATCACCTACACTGATCCGTCTGTGTACAGGCATAAGGGACTCCATAACTTCAAAGATTGATATACCTGGTGCACATCACGCACACACTCATGTACAGCAAGAATAGTTAGGGATGAATACAACAGTGCAGTACTTATTTAAAGACGGGGGGGGGTCTCTGTTTTTACATTGACCATATCCCCCACAAAAGAAGCCTTGACTGAAAAGGACTCATGTCAAATCTAATATGAGATACCCTGCAGATGTGTCAGAAGGGGGCGACGGGGATTCTCTAATCAGCAGGGACTGGGAGGCTTGGCAGAAGGACAGAGAGGGATGGTGCAAAGTACAGGCAAATCCTAGAGGGAAATCTTCAAGAGTTATCCAGGCACCACAAACTCCCAGTTCAGCAGGACGAGGACCAGAAGCCCAAGGTCCACACCACACTGAACTGCTCTGGCAAGTTTTGCATCTGATAGAAAATCTATGGTGAGGCCTAACTGGAGCAGATGTGCCAGGAAGAATGTACAAAATTACACTTTGCAAAGATTAGAAATTTTGTCTGCAGTAATTGAGGCCAAAGGTGCTTTCCACCACATTTTAAAACAGGTCATACGTTGAAGCGGTTATTAACCTGATCCTGCCCCAGTACAGATCTCAGTCAAACGAACTGAAACGTCATTGGAAATCTAAGCTAAGTCATGCTGCATTTTATCCACAACATCTAAAACTAACAGCTGAAGGTAGGACTGGTATGAGGTTGGCGATCTGGGGAGGAGTTACTTTGCGCTCAGGCAGGCTGCTGCTGTGTTTTGGTGTAAAGTCAGGCGCCGCTGCCTTCTCGAATCTGAGCCGCTGTTCCCTGTCAAACTCGGAAAGCGCTTCTCGACACGTCTCTGCATAAGTCCTGGAGAAGTAGTTCTGGCTTTTGGGGACAAAGCCTGTAGGCACAGAAACACAAAGAGAAGGGCATTTTAAAATTCTTGTGCCTTCTGTGTTGTTTCTGATCAGACTGAATAACAATTAAACCACTCCTTCGCAAGAGAATAAAATTAACCTGTACAGTACCCTTTTTCATATCATTTCATTTTATTTGACCACATGCTACAGTGGCATGACTTGAACATCAAATATCATTGTGAGCAAGAAAAAAACAATAACTGTAAAGCTTTAGTAAATCACTATTATATGTGAAACAGTCAAATTAATTGTGTCAATTGGAAATTAACTTTTGTATCTTGTGTAACTGTAGGTTTCCTGCTGGTTTAGTCAAGTTAATAAACATTTCTTAAGAAATAAGCTTTCTTAAGCTTATCTTAGTACTGTATACCTAGGTAAGTTGTGGGTTAATGACTGTCAAGGCACAGCACAGAAACACACAGTATAAGATGACATAAAGAGCACAGAGAAGAGAGAGGAAGAAACAAGAAGCAGGGAAGAAGGAGAGAGAAGAGAGAGGAGTCCGGAGGAGTGGGGACTTGAAGCTTGCGCCAGGCGAGTGGTCATCAAAACCAAACCTGACTGGAGCGAAGTACTGTATTTGAACCTTGTTAGAGAGAGCTTGCTATTCTGTGTTTTTCAGGAACTTGGGTTTCCTGGGTAAAACATACTTCAGTTAGAAACATATTTCCAGCTTAGGGTGCATTTTTATGGATAGGGATACAGGTTCCCATTTGTTGTATGGCATATGGGGTGCAGAGAGAGAGATTTAGATGCAGCTTGTATCATATTTAGTTAGAAGGCTGCTTATCTCTTATGTTGCCTCTGTAGCTAATAAGAGTTCAATGCTTAGTAGCAGTCTGGGGTTTTCTGGTTGACCAGAATGTTAGGCCTCTGAAACGCCTTGTTTATAAATACTGTACATAGAGTAACGTGTGTGTTGTATGGTTTGTGGTGTGTAGTATAGTATATCTCTTGTCATTGTAATACTGTAAATATTTGTTTAACCAAGTGTCCCTGGATTATTACTCTTTTCAACAAAGCTGTGCCAGATAACAAAGAACACACATGGCTCTAATTCTACCTTTACATGATTTATTTCCATTTATGACATAACCCACTAACCTCAGAACCAACACTTTAAATGGGATTACTCACTAAATGGAAGGTCCAGTTGTTTCCAATTTACTGCAGTAACCCAGATTCAGATTCTCACATGGTCAGCATGTATTTGTTTGCAGTCCCCTGACAGGTTTAAATGTGTGGTCTACAAATATTCAAACTGCTTGGTTTGTGATTCAAAGGATTTTCTAAAAAGCATAAAAAGGAGCACAGTCTCTCATTTTAGTTGTCAATGCCAAATCCAAAACAAACTGGTACCAAAGATGAAATGGGACCAAAAGCCCCAGTGAAAAATCAACATGTGCAGATGAAAGAGGGAAAAGATAGGAAGGAAAAGGGAGACGTTTTAAGGTGGAAAAGAGGAAATCGAGGATCACAGAAGATCTAGTGGGAATAAGGTGCAGGAAGGTTTCGAGAAAGAGGGAAAATGGACAGGCAAGCACTCCCAGGCAATGAAAGAGCACATGGAGGCCTACTGCTCCAATCTAGAATGAAGGTCAGAGACAAGAGGCTGGAGGAGAAAGGCGACCTGTGTATCCAGGGATCATCCTCTCCAGCGGTCTCTGGTCTCCTTGGCGACTCCTCCAGATCTCGTCTCGGGGGCCCGTGTCCGTCTCTGTCGACGGGAACCTCCCGCTGTGCAGGACGAGTCTCTGCGAGCGAGGAACATCTGGGCTGGTCAGGAGTCGGGCCGTCAGTTTCCCGTACGTGTTCCCCACGTTGTACTTCAGCTGAGGGCAGTACCCCGCATACCTGCCCAGAAAGGACGGTGTCCGATTACAGTGCTGTTACGGACATGGACTGAGATCCGTGCCGGGTCTTGTAGTCGACCCTATGCAATGCGGTAAGAGCCGGAGAAAACAGAAGGCGTGGTAAAAGGAAACACACAGCTGTTTAATAGTGCACAAAATAATAGTGACAGTCCGTGAGACAGTGAACAGGGGAGACAAAGAACGGCATCCAAATCCAAACAGTTCTGAAGGCAGGTCAGGGCCCAGTTCAGGAGTCCAGCAGCAAGTAATCCATCCTGGGACGCGACAAAGTTAAAATCCCCGGGAAGGGGGAAAACACGAACAGACAAAACATGGAGGTCCTAGGGTGATGGGGCGAGATCCTCCAGACCCCGGGCTCAGGAAGCGGGAGGTGTCGAGTATGAGGCCTGTGCCCTCAGGAGTCGGACGTAGGGTATCCTGGTGCTAGGCACCACAATATCTTTACCCTAATGATGAGCCCCGAGGACTGGAGGAGCTAGTCTTTAAATAAGACACCTAAGAGGGTACACCTGGGGAGCTTAATCACAAGGACAATAACGGGAGCAGTGGAGCGCCCTCTAGGGAGAGATGTCGGGTGTGACAGGTGCTGAACCTCCATTTTTAGGAGCAAGAAAATTACTGTCAGGGGGGCAGGGGAAATGGATTTTCTTCTCAAAATGTCACAAATCTCTACTGGTGAGGTAATATTAGGCCTGAAAGGTGTTCAAATCTGATTTCCTTTTTCCAGGATTCAACAGTCGTCCACATGCAAAGTTCATGTGGTGTAAAGCAGAATGTGGATAAAAGCACAAGGTCAGAAGTTCATTTGTTTTCACATTACTTTAATCTCCTTCTCTTTACAACACAGAAGTGACAATCAGGGCTGTAATTCCAGACAGTGGAGGAAAACAAAAATATACATGGCAAAGAAGGGGGTATTTCTACCCTGAATTGTGTTTGCACAACACTGATGTCAAGTCAAAATGAAAATTTAAAAGGTTTAGTATTAAAAACATTGTACAGTTGAATAAATAATTCACCAAACAATAAACTGCTGCATATTATAATATTAACTCGGGGTGACTTTTGTTTTAGAATGCATAAAAGCTGAAAATGTTAACACTACACCACAGACAAGTATTGGAAGTGATAAAAAATGTAACATAATATTGACTGCTATTGCACTTTGCTAACCTTGACAAACTCTATAAGATGCAATTCTCTTTGTTTATTGTTACTAGACGTCTTTGCGAAATAAGACCAAAACAATATCAATGCCCCCTGCATCCACCAACTATTCTTGGTGATCTGTTGCCATGGGCGACAGTTAACACAGGACACCGTGTCACACTTTCACACGGGTCAAACTGAGCACAATGGAGAGCGATATGTACAGTATATACTATATTTAATGTACAGTTCCAGTAATGCTTAAATTCACAGAACTTACGCATAGATTTTTGTAATGGCTAAATAAATGTCAATTTAGCAGCAGTTTGCAAACATTTTAATACCTTTAGATTTTCTGAGTGAAATTAGACATTTCTATCGCGCTACCAGCTAATTTTTAAACATTTTTAACCAACTTGCTTTAAAACGATAAAAACTAGATGGTTAGCAGTTTCTCATTGTGGCTGAAATCACACACTGTAAAACCGTCAGCTACCAAAAACAACAGCAGCAAATGAGGATAATAAAAATGGTGAATCATTGAACAAAATTAATTAAAAATAGAGAAATTCGTAAACTCAACTATGTTATTATGTGATTCAATTATAAATTACAGTATGTGCGCCAGTGCACTTACCCTGGTATGTAGTGCGGGTCAGGTGTCATTAGCACAGTGCTGAGTTTGGGAGGAAATTTGTTATTCATTGTGTTTCGTCGGTGCCCGACTTAGTAAAATTTTGGATGCATAAACTTTACAGTGGCGGTCACTCTCTCTAAATTCCCAGTTGTCGGAGTTACTCCGGGACCCACCAGTTTCTTTGAGTGATGTACTGTATGTTTGCAAGTGGTTGCTAGCTGCTCCATAGAGTTTCAGTGAGTGCCGAGGGGAGGAGCTACATCGCATTGACCAAACTTACGGCAAAGCTCTGATAATTATATACAATCGCTAAATGTAATAAAATCATTTAGATGACATTTTTTAAACGACACATTTATTTTGATTAAGAGCTAATATAATAACTTTTCTTTCTTTGCCGTAAAAATCAATGTGATGAGATCGATTTGGAGTCTGATTTATAGAAATGAGGATTGAATCCATCAGACAAATCAAAGTGCCCAAAAATGTTGTTCATACATAGTATTAATTGCCATTTAGGAGGTTTTACTGAGTTTTAAAATACATTTTCTTTGAATGGTGTAATTTAAGCATTGTACTCTAATTCGGTATTATTTCTCGGTAACAGAACATACTGTGTTGTGTATCTTAATAAAGAGCCGATCTTATATTATTTTAACTATTTTATTAACTACACAAATCACGCCCTTACACCATATATTCCCGCCTCCTACTCTCTCCTTCTGTTGTCTCGCGATGTCTACTCACTATACTACATTCTGTATACAGGAACAAGTAAAAGGTTTATTCCATGCTGAAAAAAAGAAGAAAGAAAACACAACGTTTCGGCCGTGGAGCCTTCTTCAGGTGTGAATGCATAACATCTGAAGAAGGCTCCATAAACCTATTACTTGTTCCTTTGCAGCCTACGCATGCTGACGCAGCTACCCACCTGAAATACTGTATACAGTATTGCTGCCTGTATACTTCAAGTATGTACACAGCCTTCCCTTTCACCTTAAGACTTATTATTTTCCCTCTTTCTCCTGTATAAAAATGGGAAGAGATCCCACACTTTGTCTGCTACCCTCTTGTATCCATCCTGAGGAATGCCCTTTCCTCTCTCTCTCTCAGGCCTTTAGCTCCACTGACTAACACACTGGCTGCAAAGTAAAGGGCAATAAACCTCTTAGTGAGCCCAAACAGTCTTCTCCAGCTTCTTATTCTGCACTTCTTATTCTTATTCATTATCATTCATGCTGATTTCTACTCACTGGGTGTCCAGATGCTGCCAACCGACTAGAAGCTACAGCAAAGCTACAGGAGAGGAGGCTTTCATGTACCGTTCAACATCTGCAGTCAAAATAAGTGGGTCACCACTATTTTAAAAGACTAATCTTTGTTGCTCCCATAGAAGACCTGCATTTTGGGGTTGAATTTCCTACACAGGGCCAATGCCCAGCTGGACCTCTACCAGGGATCTGTTCCCTTCCAAGGAGGCCCAACCCTCAGTCTACACAATAATAATATTTAATAATTGCTTACACTTATATAGCGCTTTTCTGGACACTCCACTCAAAGCACTTTACAGGTAATGGGGACTCCCCTCCACCACCACCAGTGTGCAGCATCCACCTGGATGATGCGACGGCAGCCATAGTGCGCCAGAACGCTCACCACTCATCAGCTACTAGTGGGGAGGAGAGTAGAGTAATGAAGCCAATTTATTGAGGGGGATTATTAGGAGGTAAGGGCCGGTGGGAAATTTGGCCAGGACACCGGGGTTACACCCCTACTCTTTTCGAGAAACACCTTGGGATTTTTAATGACCACAGAGAGTCAGGACCTCGGTTTTACGTCTCATCGAAGGATGGCACCTGTTTACAGTATAGTGTCCCCATCACTATACTGGGGCATTAGGACCCACATGGACCGCAGGGTGAGCGCCCCCTGCTGGCCCCACTAACACCCCTCCAGCAGCAACCTTAGTTTTTCCCAGGAGGTCTCCCATCCAGGTACTGTCCAGGCTCACACCTGTTTTGCTTCAGTGGGTTGCCAGTTGTGAGTTGCAGGGTGATATGGCTGCTGGCTACACAAGCCAACACAAAGCCAAGGACCTGGGCAGAGAACAAGGAATACAACTCTGGAGTCCCCTCCAGCACTTAGGATTTACAGTATGCATAGAAACACAGGGTATCAAAGGTTCTTATTGACATATTCAAGCAACTGCAACTGTTCACAATCAACTTGTTTAAACAGGCAATCATTATAGTATTTTGTACTGTACTGTATATCGTCTTGTTGTTCTGACACTAGCAAAAGATACAGGTATGTGCCATTTGCTGAGCTTCTGTAGTGTAGGAGGTATTATTAAATGAAATATCTGTGTTCTTCTATAATGCAGTACAGAAAATGGAAAGCGTGTTATATTCCAGAAATATCAGCTACTGTATACTGCATTTTCATTTTCCAAATAGAGGTAATTGTTATGTTTACCCACACAGATTAATGCGGCTACAGTAATGAGCAGTGGTTCATTTCCTTGCTAGATGAAGATGGCACTGCTGTGTTCTATAATTGGGTTCTTTTGTATCAATTAGGAATGCAAGTGAGCCAGGCAGTCACATCTGTTGTAATGAGCTGAAGGAAAACTAATGAGAGAGATCTTATGAATCGTATGTGTCAGTATGGTCTTCCCTGCAGCCACAATCAGCACTAATGTGTGAGCTACATGTGAAGTGGAATCCAGCTGTGACATTATGAAACTGCTCAGCAGTTGATTGCTGGGGACCATCCACAGTTCCATGGACCAGTTAGAGAGAAAACACCATATCATGTGACGGGGTCTTCTTTTACAAAACTTTGATGTTAAAAATATTTTTTTCTTAATTGTTTTTTTGGGGGGGTTGTGTGACCCAAAGAGTCAAAAATATTTTTAATTTCTTTTAAATATATAACTTTCAGGCCTTTGCACATCGCTAGTGTCGGGTTTTGTCCCACATATTTTGTGATCATGGAAGTTTTTTATCTCTCGCATTTAGCAATTTTTGTTTACTGTACATGTCATGTACTGTACATAATTACACTTGTGTCTGCCCCTTTCTGTATTTCATGTGGGTAGGAATGAGGTAATTTCCATATTTCAGCCTAAATTACTCTTCAGGCCAGGGCTTACCTGGTTTACATGACGGTGTCTACCCTCGGAAAAAGCTGGTTCCAGTTAAACACTGGGTGGACTGGAGCATATTGGGTACAGTACCTCTCTCAGGGTTCAAGAGCAGTGTTGCATCACAGACTCAAACCCACAACCCACCAATCTTGAGCTCAGCCTCTTAACCCTTATGCCAACGATACCTTTAAATCTCATGTTAAAATCTTTAAATATTTACAAGTCCTTGTTTTGAACTTTGTGATTGTGGTCTGCTTTCAACTCCAGTACATCAAAATACTGTACATATAACTGTACTTGAGAGTGATGTCTTAATCTATCCTTATCCTGGAACCCATACTGTTTACCTGCTGGTTTTCATTATACCTTCATATACCTTCATTGAATGAACAGTTTGCTTGGTTAGAACCTTTTCACGTTTATTTTTCTACTCGAAGGATGGAGATTTTAAGTTGCTTAAAATTAAGTTACTCAAGAAATGCACTAGTTAAATGACAACCTCCTACATGTTTAAAAACCTGGAATCAATTAAAGAACTTCAATTATTAGGTGTCACGATCGTTACTCCTCCTCTTAAGGGCGCTCCAGCCCTTCCTCGTTCTGTCCCATTCCCCACACCTGTTCCTTATTCCAGCCCCTCTTTAGTTCCACCTTTAAAGCCAGACGCAGGCATTTGCCTGGGGCTTCACATTGAATCCCGTTTCGTGAGAGCCTGGGGGGTCCTGCTGTGTCTGGCTCTGTTATGGTTTTAGTTTCCTGTTCCTGATTCCCTGTCCCACTGGTCCTGACCTGGTTCTGGTTTTTAATTACGTTGGATGGATACCCTGGTCTTGGACTTTGCCTCCCATTTTGGATTTCCCTTTTGGATTTATGCTTGGATTGTTTGCCCCGGACTCACTTCCCCTGGACACCTGCTCACCTCGGACACGCCCCCCTGTCTCCTGACCCACTCCTGCATGATATTTTTCCCTATTGTTTCTTCACCTTCCGGATTGTGTTGTCCGCATAGGGCCTGGAAAGAACTGTTCATTAATAGAACATTAGGTCTATTAAGGCTTTAATTGTTTGAGTACTTTAGTGGAGTTATTTATATTTATTTGGCTTGTGCTTTTATACAAAGTACCATTTATTTATACTCGCTTATAATGGTGGGGATTTTGCTAGAGAAAGTCGGTGTTGCTGTAGTATTGCAGTTATCCAGTAATAGAATGCACAGTCTTCCAGGTTCAAAGCCAGAGCCCTAACCAGTGCTCCTCACTGCAGCCTGTTCTTTATGAGGATAGAGTTTTCTTGATTTCATAAACCCTTTGGTGTTCTTTTTACTTGCAAAATTATGAGTTGATCAAATTTAAAGCACTTTGTAATTAGCATTTATGGTTTGTTCACCTTGTGTAAGTTATTTAGAAACTGTTTATTATTTATTGTACTTTTATACTGTCCCCTGTTATGTCTTGACAGTTCCTAGACTGTTCCTGAACTGTTCCTAGATTGTTTTGACCAGATAAGGTGTTATTTGTATTTTTATGGTAGTTTAAATGCATGTGTTTTGTGTGGAGCTGGATGTGTACCGTATGTACCTTTGTTTTCTGTGTCACTCTAAACCAACACCAGATGGAGCTATTTGTCTACGATGATTTTGTCCTGTAGACTTTTGAGGCCAAGCTACTGTGCATTATAAAGACACGTACTTCGTGGACTGTGGGTTTTATTGATGCGAATGAGCATTGAAAGCAACAGATATTTAAAAAACAATGAGTTTTGAGAGTGTAAGAGGACAGGAAAACTGCACTGTGATACTGTATTGTAGCTAATACTGTCCTTTGCTTGAGGTGTTAAACTGATTTCATCACTACTCGGTTATTAAAGATCTCTTGGCTTATTAACCCTGGACGTCTGGCTAAATTCTGCTTTGGGCTTACATAATATGGCGTACAGTTAACAGGGTCTAAATACAACTGGTGAAGCCTAATACAACTGGTGAAACAATTTCTTACTTCACCTGATCTGCTATGCAGTGGGGCTTCTGGCACATAATGGCTACCATGTGTGTCACAGATGGTTGCTGCA